GGGTTGGTGTCCAAACAAACGGCAGCGATGGGGCACAGAAGGAGGGAGGGTAGCGGGAGCCATCAAAGGGCCAACAGAAGGAAGCTCACTGTTTCCACACAGCAAGCCGGAGGGGCCAACTCCCATGGAGCCAGTGGCTCTCCCACTGTGTGACAGTGAGGAATATATTGGCCCTCACATGCCCTGTTCAACTATTTAATTAAGAACAAATTTTTCAAAATGTAGTAACAAATACTTTAATAAAGTACTACTACACCTCAATGGTAGCTTTAAAATGTTTTGCAAGCCAACTGAATTTAAACAAAATCACTCGCGTGCGATTGCAGGTGACACATTTTCACCGGATGATGGTGCTAGATGAAAATTTAAAGGACAGCCAAAGTGATTACAATTCATATCTTAAACTTTAGGGCAAGCCGTCAAAGAGTTCTCCGGTTGACAGTCCCAACCGGATACCAAAAATCTAAATTTCAACCTCACGGCGGCGCTAGAAGAGAAGTCTGTGAATCACCAGATTCTGTAAAATTCTGGGGACCATTGATGTCTGTGCAACTTTAATGGCAACACACCCAAAAGTGTCAATATATTTGACTGACAGCAGTGTTCCTGGCGCCACACTAAACACGAACGGCAGCTTCAGCACACTTTGAGTTGACCCTGCGTACAATAGGAGTACTACAATGCAATGAACAAGCAATATTAAAGGTCACATATTTGGCTCATTTTCAGGTTCATGCTTTTAATTTCTGGGTATGCTCAAACATGTTTACATGCTTTCATGTACAAAACAACACATTATTAGTACATTGAAGTTAATGGTTAATACTGTTAACACTTAACACATTGCTGCAGCACCAATATTCACCCTCTGTCTGTTTAGCGCCTGTCTCTTTAAGCAGAGGCATGTCACCTCTGGTTGCATAAAGCCAAGATGACAATGGCTAAAAACCAAGATGGCGACGGCCAAAAGGTCGCAACCAAAAAAAATGCAACCAGATGTAATAGAACATCCTGGTATTTTTGGCAGACTGAATTTACTGTGTATTTGGACATGTTAAATCTTTTCCTGGTGTACTAAATAGTATGGTAGTACGGATGTATGGGAGTATTGGAACGCACATAATAATAAAAATGTTAGGCCGCCTCTAAATTTTGATTTCCTAAATCAAATTTATGAAACGCTCCGTCAATTATGAGTCATCACTTGGATGGCGTGTCATAATTGTGCCTCTCCATGAGTACTGTGGTTGTTGGGAAGCGCTGTAATATGGCAGTGTTGGCTGTAGTAAGTCATATCAGAGGAGGACACATTCGTAGGCTTTTTACAAACATTATATCGTCGCATCACAGAATGTAGTTTCATTTTTCATTCAGAGAATGTGCAGAGCTACTCTGCTGAACTCGAGTGTTTTTACAGTAGAAAGGTGATACTTCAAGTGAGAGTATTCTCCTTGGAATAAAACTTTTAAATGAGCTACTTGACTTCTATCTTAAGTAGAACCGTACAGCAGCAGATCCGACTCCACTTGAGTGAAATTTCAGAAGCAGCATTTCCACCTCGCTCGGTTAAGTACCCTATCACACTGCATAAAGAACATTAAACCAGCCATATGCCAAAGGCTGTTAAATGTGTTGCTTGAGGATAGGCTTGAAACTCCTTTTGTGATTCAAAGTTACAGCAGACATAAGAAAATCTTCAACACTTTCCTCCTCACAGAAAGCTAACAGCAGCACTTCATCCTCTTTTCTTTGACTAAGGGGACACTTTTTAATGAACTGCTGTCCTTGAGTGTTTGGTCTGAATGTCACTAAAGCATGATAGCTGAACTGATTCAAGAGGAGGACACTTTACTGTGCCGTCACAGTTATATATATTATTTTGCTAATGACTGTGTGTTGCCTTTTGCTAAATGTTTTTGAGTATTTTTTCTTTTCAGGTTAATTTGCCACCTGTTCCCACCAACACCAATTCAGCCATAATTTATAAAAAACGACTTCTACGGTGTATTTCAAAATAAAAGCCATGCTAACATTTGCTGTGTGGTCAAGAGAATATCACTAGGAAATTAAAATAAATTAAATATGCATTTTTCGTCCCAAAACATGAGAATCACGTCTTAAATCAATAACGACATAATAAAATCAACATCCTGGTCATTTCAATACTATGATTATTGCCTACAACTGTTATTTTATTATTTTAATTTGCAAGCACTTCCTCTGCATTGTTATTTTCTGCCAGCTTGACTCACCTCCAGAGTTCTGGCCTAGCAGCAGTGTTATTGTTAGTGTTAGTTAGCACTTAGCAGGAAAGTAGCCACAGGAAAAGGTATTCCAAATAAAAGTCTCAAATACATGATACATACATGGGTTGCACACAAGTAGGCTACCTTATAACTAGTCCATAAACACCACAAATTAAATATTTACTTTTACTGAGACAGTGAAATAAATGTTGAAATAAATAACCTACTTTTATTCTGTAAAATTGAAGCCTGTTATTGCACTCGTGGGTTTTGAGTAAGAGTCTGGAACTTCGCTTTAACTTGATAGGATACTTTACTGTGCTTAAAATCACAGTGTTGCTTTTTATCATTTTTATTGCAGGAAAAAGCAAAAATTACCAAAAATCTACATGGGTGACGATAAGTGAATTGGTAACTAATTACAGAGTTAATGACCTGTCTTTAATAATGTATTCTCTGCCTAAGGATAATACATGATAATGTCAGAGTTGGACATCTTTTTCCACAATTATCTAAGTTTGAAGATATATGTATTTCATCATAAATCAGAATTAAATTAAGTATAAAGCAGTAATATTTCAATGTTGTTTAAGGTACCGTTTTCTATTTCTTCCTGTTTTTTCCTGTTGACAATTTGTTCCCCTCTAATGAAGACTTCACCCAACAACACTGAAATATTCCCCCTGCCATTCGTCTCTAAAACTTTCGCGTCTGACCGAGTTTTATTTTGACAGTCCCAACCGGATAAGTCACTGTGTAGTGCGTGTCGCTTCACCGCGGCCTGTCATCTGACTCTTTTCCTGTTGGGAGAGAAAAAGTTTAGAAACCCCACCCTCTGTACTGACTGTGAGCAGACGTAGAAGTGGTTCGAGGTCCGGACGAGTGAGCACCGACCGAGGATGAGGAGTATTCCAATAAGTTAAGATGGAGTTGTTGCGCTGTTTGGATACCGACTGTAACCGCGAGACCACCGAGCTGGACGAGGCCACGCGCTGAACTCCAATTAGGGAACTAACGGGATTTGTTTTTTTACTGCGTGTTTCTTTCTGGAAAGCGAAGCAGGTTAGAGGTCTTCCTGTTCCAGAGTCGGCTGTTCCTGCGTGTTTTACGTCGCGATAAAGCCCCGCTCATTGCGCGCTTGTCAGTATGGGCACTCTCGCTCAGAGGGATGCGGGATTTCCTGCGGGAGCGCCGCACAGTTGCGGTCAGACGTGGTTGTTGGAGTTCTCTGTTTGCTAATGCGGACAGGTTTTCCCTGGAACTTGTCGTAAAACACTGGTTGGCTGGACTGAATGCTCCTTTTCCTGCTATTCTTCTCCGCTTCGCAGCGCTTCCTGCTTTGTGGTGGCCACTGCACTTAATGGCTAAAAATACATAAAAACTCCAAATGGACAGCTGAACGTAGTTGGAACCGGCATTTGGAATACTCTAAAGTATTTTACCACAAACTCTGGATAGTTTTATTTCTCTCTCTCCACACTTTAGCCATCCAAAGCACAAGCTCAACAGGTGGCACTTTTGAATGAGTGAAGAGGAGAGCTAATTTACCCATAATGAGGCCATTCAACAGCCTTTTTAAATACAGGCCGGTGGAGTGACAACCATGTTGGGGAAACCACACATCAGTGGAGACGGTGCTGCCTTTCTGAGCTCTGAAACGCTCGTTGCCTTCGCACATAACTGACCTCTCAACTGATCCTGTTTTCAAGAGGGGAGCTTTGCATGTAATGTCAAGACGAATGAGAGACACTCACCGTTCAGCCATTTTTGAATCCTCTTCTGTAGCCCGCTTGTTGGTCAAGCTCTCGAACACATTTCGCTGGTCCCTGATGAACCAACAAGAAAGACAGGAAAGGGAGCGAGTCGCAGTAAAGTACTCCTTTGTACTTTATTTTCAAACCCTTGGGGTGCAAAATCAGATCCGGTCTAGACTTCTGCTGGAGGCTCCATGGAGCCACTGAAGAACATATTCAGTCGCGGCCCCCTGTCCAACTGGAAGAATTTGGATCAATCGCAAAAAGGGAACTTCACCAACCCGGTGTGGACGGCCTTATTCGACTATGAGGCGTCCTGCAAAGATGAGCTCACCTTGCGTAAAGGTGACCTGGTGGAAGTCCTGTCTCTGGACTCTGAGATATCAGGAGACGAGGGCTGGTGGGCGGGGAAGGTCAACAACCAGGTGGGCATCTTCCCGTCCAACTACGGCTCCTTCAAGCCGGGCAGCGCCGTGGTCAGCGAGCTCAGCCCGGCCGTGGTCAGCCAGTTCGAACCCGACGTGCTGGACTTCCGGGAGCTGAGCCTGGAGGAGGTCATCGGGGTCGGGGGCTTCGGAAAGGTGTATCGCGGTACATGGAGGGGCGGGCTGGTGGCCGTGAAGGCCGCCCGCCAAGACCCGGATGAGGACATCAGCGTGACGGCGCAGAATGTCAGACAGGAGGCCCGTTTGTTCGCCATGCTCACGCACCCCAACATCATCTCCCTGAAGGGCGTCTGCCTGCAGGAGCCCAACCTGTGCCTCATCATGGAGTACGCCTCGGGCGGGCCGCTGAGCCGGGCACTGGCGGGGCGCCGCATCCCGCCGCACGTCCTGGTCAACTGGGCCGTGCAGATAGCCAGAGGGATGCTGTACCTGCACAGCGAGGCCATCGTCCCCGTCATCCATCGGGATCTCAAGTCCAACAACAGTAAGTCGCCGAGCGGGCTGGTCATCGATCAAACCCAGTCCCGCTCTGTCAGCGGTAGATTGATGGCGGTTCAGACGTATTTACTGGGCCTGCTGGGTGGCAACATGTCCCGTGGCAGTGATGGAACATGGTGTGCTACATATACAGCTGCTAAAGGCCTCTGTCCACAAGGCCACATCTAGAACAAAGGCAACCCGCTTAACTCCTGTAGAATTATTAACACAAACACCCTCGTCTGGGAAATTGGATTACCCCTCTACTTTCGATCCTGTGCCATAATTGGTACAGTCCAAGTCATTTGTCTCGGGGTGATATATCAGTTTTATCTGGAGTTCTAGTTGAAGATCATTACATTCAAAAGTAAGATTAACGGTACAACAGGACATCTTTTTTGGATGCTAGCTCAGTCATGTGACTCTCTAAAATGTAGACCAAGGCTGCAGATATGTGTCTTTGCTAGCACAGGTCAGGAGTTATAGAGGAGGCTCTGGGTCTCAGCGCCGTCACAGCTCACACTTTGGACTTTGACGCCATCCGGAGGGGTGGGGGGGGCAGCCGGGGGAGAGAGTTGCATCATCGCTTTGGGCCCTCGCGGGCAGACACGTAGGCACTGAACCTTGTCATTAAAGCTAAACTGCAGAGAGATGTGTCGCTGATGAGGCGTTCTATTTGTAGCAGAACAAGTGCTTTTCTCAGCTCTTAACAGCACATTTAGCCAACCCAAACACAAAGCCACCTGAATGTATGTTACAGCAGCCTCCCCTCTGTTATTATCATTCTTGTGATGCAGCGTATAACTCCCCCACCTCCCCGTCTGCTCCCTGGCTGTATCCAAAATATCATCCTCTCTGTGCGACTGAGGCTCTCAGACTGAGACCTTGCTTAGGAGCACTAGAAGGTTTCCTCCCTTGATTCCACACCAAGTTTAAAGCAAAGGATCCTCATTCAGCACAGCTTTAGCACACTATTCTCCCAGGCTCTGTTCAGAAGTCCCATCTTTTTTCCATCAGTCCTGCTCAACTAGTCCTCTCCCAGTTCTCTCCAGCATCTGCTCACTCTTTGTTTCACCCTTGTGTCCGGTACTTTCTGGGTAAAACCTCTCCACTGGAAATAACCCAAAAAAGAATAATTTTCCCGAAGCGCAAAAAGAAAGATGAGTTATGTCAATATAGTGTTAGTGCGTGAGGCCGGCCAACGCAAACACGATCCCGGTCTCGGAGATGGTATCGCTCTCCTGCCTCTTGGTTTTTCAATTCTTCTCTGAATCTTTGTCCCGACATGTCTCCATAGAGCCAGAGCCCTGCTGTGCCGCTGAGCAATATCCTGTGTGTGTGGGGTGTGTGGGGTGTGGGGGGGGGGGGGCGTTAGGTTTGGGGAGCCGATGGGTTCAACACACAGGTGTGAGAGCATCTCAACATGAGGGCGTTTTTAAAGGAGACATTCTCACCAAGACACTGTTTAACAGTCAGGCCACAGGGCCGTTAGGCAGACAGTACAGAGCGTACTAAAGGATCAATGGTGGCCCTCAGATTGTGGAGTCAGTTCCTCAGAATAATGACGCAGGTTCTTCTTTCAGGATCTGGCATTTTGCCTCTCCGCGCTCTGCAGTCACACGGGGAGAAATCTGTCACAAGACCTGTTTCCAGTTGTGGCCTAAAGTGAACCACAATGCATTGAGGCAACAAGATGTGTTCATTAACAGAAAAGTAGAAAATATTGATGGTACAAGAGGGAGGTTGGGAGAAATGTAGTTTCTTAAAAATAACTCTTATGAATATATGACTGCACCAGCAGCACTTTAGTACGTTTGAGCAGCTGTTAGTGATGGAATAAGGCGGATAGTCATTATAAACAAGAGCTAAAGGTTGGAGCTAATGACCAGCGCAGCGCTTCGGTCTGTTTTAGAAGATGCTGATGAAACGGGATCCTTGGAGAAAGTGTCGTGGTGGGTCGCTCGGGTCGAAGCCACAGGCCATAACTGGAATTCCACTGAAAGTAAAGTAAAGTAGAGGAGCCTCTGTCTCTCACCAGTGTGTCCATGGATATGGGGATGAAAGTCTGGGGACGTTTCACACCTTATGCACTCAGTCATTCTCTGTTTTTTTTAGCAGACTAGTGTTTTTAGCATCTGGTGGTTCTGTAAATGAGGTTTCACAATGCTGCTGTTTTTATTCATCAAAATCATTTTGTTTTCACCCTCATCGCCTCACACTGAGTGTGAACTGCGAGTCACATTATCTTTCTAACCTTTGTCTTCTTATCTACAAATGGGGACAGGTCTCGTGATGCACCGTGGCACGCTGAACACACTACTAAACAAAAATCACAGTAAACTGCACTGCTCAGTCTGCAGGTTAGATAGTTAATTACCCTGTCAGCTGTAGCACAATCGATCAGCTTCAACCAAGCTAATTAATACTTTGATTTCATTAATTACATTTTTGTGTGGACTTAAATTGGAGATTAAATAAAAAATGCCTATTTCGACCATTTAGATTACATGCCCGGTCATATTGTGCACCCGTTTGATAATGCGTGCAAAAAGAAAATTACAAAAAATAATGTCCTATTTTTATATGATAAAGTTATCTTTTCTTCCTATGGAAAATAAATAAAAAATGGCGCCTGCTCACTTCAGCTCGTATCGTGACGTCCATCAATCAGTCAGTCTGCAACTTATAGCGACAACAGACCTCTGTAGCTCCGAATTGAGCGGCATTCTAAGCCCGCCCACTTTTTAACGGCCCAATCAAATGCGGAGAATTTTATTTAAATCCCTCATGTAACTATACACTGCTGAAACATTCAGTTTCATTGGGAAAACGTCTCGGCTACAGACGGTATAACTTCTGTTTCACTGGGACTTTAAACGCACTGTTTTTTTTTCCATTTTTGGCCACTAGGGTGGCAGCTTTAAACACGTAAACATTGACATATCAATGTTATGCTATGGCTAACGTGTCAGCGAACACTTGCTTGGACAGCAAATCCAGAGATGCATTCGTATTAATAAATGTATTATTATTCATTTGGAGTCATGTGTTTTGGTCACCTGGCAAATGAAATGTGAGGCCAGTATTCACTCTTCTGGTAGCTCTGGTTTACTCTCGACCAACTACGGCTACGTGGCTCTTTAGCGGCTAAATGCTCTGCTATATTGCTAACTTTGTCTGTTTTTCTTTAGAAATATGTATCAGTGCTACTTTTAGTTGCCTGTTACGGAAGTATCAACATATATTTTTGCTGCAGCTGGAGTAAAACTCTTGCCATCAGCAGCAGCCCTCAAAAGCCCATTGAGTCGGGCTGCCGTCCTCGCACTGTCGGTTATCTCTGTGCACAAAGCCTTCATAGATGCAGAAGCAGCGCGGCATCACCACACGGCTGTAGTTAGAAACGGTGGGGGAAAGTGCCGAGCTAAGCACTTGCTGGGCTGGAACTCACAGGCCTTTTTTTAAATTTTTTTTCTCAGGAAGAAGCCACAGTTAGATCTTAGATCAACACAAACATCTGATACATTCCACTACCCGCATGTTTTCATTCAGGGCCCCCAGTGCTCCACACTGCCGCTCACTCAAAACATCCGTGTGTGTGTGTGTGTGTGTGTGTGTGTGTGTGTGTGTGTGTGTGTG